CGTTAATGCGGCCACCTCGTTAATATGGCCAACGGACACATTCCCAAATGCAACCTATATAATCCTTTATAAGTTTACCCCGTTTATACGGCCACTCAAACCAGTTATTTTCACCTTTCCATTAATAATATTTTACACACTGATTCAAGTTTCACTTAAAACAAAATTATATCTGCATTCCGAATGCTTATTAAATAACAGTTGTTTAGAAGTGCAATATATATCTATTACACGTCACTCAAATTGTTTGACCCTACTCCGTCAAAGCAGTCAATACGGCAAAATTTTCATGGCCCGTTGGTGACCAGGTTAACGGGATCCCACTGTATAATCATTTTCTTTTAAAATTGTAAATTTTCAATTTTTTTAACTTGACTCATTGACTTGACTCATGACTCATTGACTCATTCGACTCATTGATACTTTACTCTCGAACTAAACACGGCATCGTGCCACGAAGATCGATTTCAGTCACCAAGAGATGGATATAATCTTCCTCTTTGGTCTATGCTACACGCTATTATGACTTTGAACAACCTATCTGGAATAGAAATCACGACTGCGGAAAACGTTATCCATGTCCAGGTAAGCTGAAGCCCTGGTTTCATGTTCTTCATGTAAGCTAAATAAGCTTGATAATCTTGATGTCTTAATCTGTCTTACCTACTTTCCACGGTATACACTCGAAAACATTGAACCTTGTTGGAATTATAGACATCCTCAAACCATTATAGTATAGGATATCACATAGAAATGTGCTCTTCAAGTGCTTAAAGTACATATATAGTGTATCCCAAAGGACCTTAAATTGTAGTCTGCAAAATGCTGTTCTCAGGACAACTTGTGAAGAGAGATTTCCAAGCATCATACACAAATACTTACAAAGCAGTCATGTATAATAATAATAATAATAATAATGATGATAATAATAATATTATAATAATAATCGGCAGTCATGAATAGAAGAAGTTGTTTTACACAATTGTATGTAAGAAAATATATTGATTGTTTCCTCAAAAATCTTCTTTCTTTCTTTAAACAAATTCGTTTTACTCGATTTGAAATATATGTGTTTTTCAACCGGTTTCATATTTAATTACCAAAATTCTTATGAAGTGGCTCAAGGAAGGTAATGTTTAACGATCTTGGACGTTCGGTGACCCCCATTTTTGACGGATAATTTTCTCTACCGATTTTCTACAGTTAGCGACAAAATGAAGAAAATCTATGGACTAAAAGTTTCAATTTTTTGGAAAATGCACCATGGAATTCCGTTCTTTTCAGCTCTTCGTTTACCTGTGCGACGGTTTCAAATGCCTCTTGAAGGGTTAAGTTTTGTGAAGACGTTGGTAACATTTGGAATTATTTAAGCAACAGACCCACTTCTGCAAAATATGACTAAGACCGTTTGCCTCCGTTGACCAACCTTCGACACTTTTAACTATAAACCCCTGTAGACCATGCTGAATTACGTGCGCCAAATTTTCAAAATCAGTGTAGTTTTCACACGCTTTATCTCTGAAACGAAGTCGATGACCCCCAATTATTTATTTATTTATTTATTTTTTGCATTTCTGACACAATAACTCATTATCTGACCGCAGTAGAAATTATAAAAAAAATCTATCGATGGAAAATTTTCGCGCGAACGTCCTTAAGTGCACCTACATTGTACCCTCCCATGTACTTGTTATTTGAAGAATCACTGGTTGTAGCTACATGTCACAAGCATGAACATGTCAAAACCCTGGGTATCAAACGTGGCATAATTTCTTACCAAACATCTGAAGTTTAGTAGATCCGTACACCACGATACAACACAGATGGTACCCTTTTATTGAGTTGACAAAGTTTTCAAAAAATACACATGGGTAAAACTTCAAACAAAATATGACTAAGACCGTTTGCGTCCGTTGACTAACCTTCGACACTTACGTGCGCCAAAATATCAAAAACAATGTAGATTTCACAAGCTAAATCTCTGAAACGAAGTCGAAAAAACTCAATTTTTTATTTATTTATTTATTTATTTATTTTTTGCATTTCTGACACAAGTAACTCATTATCTGACCGCTTGGTAGCCCTTCAGAGCGCCGGAGCTCCGCTATCAAGATAATATCGCTATGTAAATTTAACAAAAAAACTAGACTTTAAGGCAAAGTTAGCGTCTCTTAATCTTGCCTTTTCCTTGCGCACAATCGACCCAAGTTCTCAATCCCAGGCGAATTCCGATATGAGCGGCATTTTTGTGGACACACCTGGACTAGACTGTTGAGACAGTTTTATCAATTTTTTAATTGCGCGCGATATACTACAATATAAATCAAGCTACGTTAGAGTCGCCCATGGGCTCCTAACCCACTGGACATAAATGATAATCCTTTCGATGTTTTCTTTACTTCTTAGAGCCAAGTCATGCTGAGCGATCGAAAAAAGATAATTCAACTCAGGTATGTTAGTACCACTAGCACAAACAAATAGAGCTACTTGTACCTGGAAACTTGCAAACTGCCACATAGGTCTATTATGTAGGTATTAGTGTGGACATTAATTTGCAGATGACTGGTTTGGAAAATGTACATCTAAAACCTCCAGTGATGTTTCTCATCTAACAAAGGAAGACAGTACGCCAGAGCGAGAATGTCCTACAGTAATTTCCAAACGACCCCTCAAGCATGGAATGCTTTTATTCTCATCGTGTTTAAGTAAAGGATCTTACTTACTTACTTGCTTAGTTACTTTAGACCCTGTCAACACTACGTCGGAGAAATTTCAAAACGCAGCTCTAATTCTACAGTTAGGCCTACCGTACACACCAATCCGTCACGAAAACGGAGCTTTACATAAACGCTCCTCAAACCGGAGGAATTTGAAAAGGATGGCTTTGCGTCTCTCTGTGGAAGGAAAGAGTTTGAAAACGAAACTTTTCAAAAACGATGACGTTACAATAATCATATGATTTCCTTGCCTGAGGTTTCGTCAAAGACAAATCCAAAATGACCGGTGATTGTTGTGTTTTCAATTTACTTGGCGTAGATTACACGTTTCGAGAGTGAAAACGCCGTCTTCAAATTCCCAGGCGTATAGTGTGGACGAGGGCATAGTTTGAAATTTGCAATTGTGACGCCATACAATGGTGAAGTATACAAGGCACCCATGCCCACACCGTGACGGTACACCGGATGTATTCATATTCAAGTTAAATCCAAAAGAAAGGCCAGGTTCTGATAAGATAATCCTGTTTTCTGGCCTGTTTGCTGCTGCTGTTTGCTGGTGTGTTTTCTGGCCCGTTTTGTAGTTTGTTTTCTGGTCTACTTTTCGGCCTGCTTTCTGGCCTAGCTTCCCGGCCTAGCTCTCAACCTATTTTCCGACTTAAATAATCCAGGCATAGAGTACATTCCATGTTGCGCACATCTTTAATACTCAAGGATTCTCTGGCCCCACGATTACGTAATTCTGTCTCTCAAAATACTTTACTGTATAACACCTAAAGCGGCTTCCAGGCAAAGGAGAGAAATGCTCTATTCATTTGTAGACAAGCAGAAAGGAACGACTCTACTAAATCGGTATCCTTCCGACGAGCAAAGGCAGAAATGGGAAAAATATTTCAAGTTCACGTTTGTTCGTGAGCCGTTCGAGCGCATTCTGTCCGCATACAAAGACAAGTTTGTTTATCCAAGATTTCCCCGCCCAATGCTTCAACTTCGCGGTAGAGCAATTCTGAGAACCGTTCGTCCAAACTCTTCCAAGAGCGCACTTGATATGCTTGATGACATCACTTTTCGTGAATTCATTGAATATTTAGTAACCGAAGGAAGCAGCAAGAGTACGTCTGTTATGGATTGGCACTGGGATAATTACGTYAACRTATGTGGAATGTGTGCCGTCAACTATGACTTTATAGGTCATTACGAAACTTTTGATCAAGACTTGGCAGATTTTAAAGAGGCTGCAAGGTTATCGCCCCAACAGGCAAAAAGATTCGATGCTCGAGCCAACAATAAGTCCAGTACCGCCTCCTCTATGCTCAGTTATTACTCGAAAATTCCCATAAAATGGATCGAAATCCTTGGGCATTTTTACAGAGCCAACTTTGAGATGTTTGGATACAACTTCCCGGAACTTCTTAAGAGTCTTTTTGAGTAAAGGAAGAGATAATAGTGGGGATGTGACAGTTTGATCATTTGTTAGCTTCTCCCATCTTTGATATGGCGCCATATTTTTATGGGTACCGAGCACTCTGGTTCCTTAAGTCCGTTACGTTGAGATACTTGGGGGCAGTTTAAGCCATGTTTGACGTACGTTTTGCGTCGTATTAGAGCACTAATGTGTCGCACGCACACAGTGAAATTATCAGTTGGTTTAATAATTTAATTCAATTGTTGATTAAACACTTTTCAGGCTGTAAAAATAAAATGCATGAATCGTCAAATAGTCGATCTATCACAAATGTTACATAAGCGTCGCTTATTTTTCTTTTATGCTGAGAAATTTGATAATTTGACTTGTTGCGCTAAATATAGTATTGCTCGGGCAATAAAATACATGTACATTACAAAAGCTGAAGGGTTAGACTTTTGAGCTTTGAGAAATACCAAATATGTCGTTTAAGTCTTTTTTTTTTTGGAACATGTGATTTTATTACGTTTGAGAAGAAAGGGCGCCGTAAAACGGAATTTTCCGATCTCAGAAAAACAAGAAGAAAACAAAAAAAAAACCATCACAACAAAAAAAAAAAACTTAAAACAACAAAAGAAGAAAGAAAACCAGGTGAATATGTCAGTCAAAAGATGTTCACGAGATTGGCTGTCAAGAAGTGCAGCCAATGTTTTGCAGCCGGAATAAAGTTTTCGGAAACGAAATGAGCCTTAGGTGTGACAATTCATATCACCTTGAAATCTATACTTTACTGGCTCCAACTTATATGCCAACATTCCTCTCGTAACACTACACCCGCCAGATTGAAGCGCCAACACCCCCTCCCTCCCCTTAAATTATAAAAGGTGACTTTCTTAGTCTATTTTACATATCGTATTGCCCTAACCAATAAAAAACAGTTGACCGCAAGCAAACCAGTATGAAAGTGAACAATTAAGCGTTTGTTGACGGTGTATAATTCTGTTACCAAATTATGACCAGTTTCGGCCTAGTCCCTAGAGCAGGTATGGCATCGTCCATTCCGAGAAGCTTGGTTACCTGTGTAAAGTCAATGAGTTTGCGCAACAGACTTTATGGTACAGCTCGCTCCTGTCTCACTCTTTATGTTTTTGAAAGCATATCGCTTGAGGCATCTTCACTATGACAGCACTGATAGCAGAGCGGTATCAGCTGACATTGATAGGGAGGTTGACAAAACTACGACGGACACGGTAGCGAGAACGTCCCTAAACAAAAGTTTTAATGAGCAGAACAATGGCTATGTACGTGCGTTACAATTTTTGATACTTTTCTTTGCCGTCCTCTGTAAAACAACAACGTGAACTGACCAAACCCTACGTTGTCTGGAGAACGTGAACCACGACGGCTAATTTTTTAAAGTTTTGCTGCAAATTTATCGCTGTGTTCCCGATTCAATTTTGTGATAGTTTTGACATTGATAAACAAAGTAAACGCCTTAAGAGTACCGCGAGATCTGTAGGTAAAATATAAAATAATTTTTTAATGGACGTTGTCCCTAATAATTCTTTCAGAACAGGAAAAAAAATACATCGTTACTACAAATACAATTATTTGACGTTCTATGAAACGAAAACTACTAATAGAATTTTCCGAAAAACTCTCCACAAGATTAGGCTTGCTATCGTATTTCGTAAATTAATCGCTCTGTTCTCGATTCAATTTTGTGATAGTTTTGACATTGATAAACAAAGTAAACGCCGTAAGAGTAACGCGAGATCTGTAGGTAAAATATAAAATAAACTTTTAATGGACGTTGTCCCTAATAATTCTTTCAGTACAGGAAAAAAAAAACATCGTTACTGCAAATACAATTATTTGACGTTCTATGAAAGGAAAACTACTGATAGAATTTTCTGAAAAAATCTCCACAAGATTAAGCTTGCTATCGTATTTCGTATGATGACGCTTTTCGCCAAAATCCTAACCAGCCAGCCATTAAAGACTTAGCACCTCTTTATCTTACCATTTACGGTTTAAGATTGTGGCTACTATACTTTATAAATGTTTCCTTGTTTGTTTGTTTGTTTGTTTTTTTTTAATGTACATCGTAACAAAAACACTTGTTGGTTTAACCTAACCATTACTTTCGACAGTCTACTGAAATGATGTTACATCAAGAGGCTTTTAATTCACAATCAAATAACTCTTGCAAGTCTTGCGTGCCTATGTTTTCTAATAACTAAAACTTTCTACCGGCATTGTGCTAATCCCTGCGCAAACTCCCTTGTACAATTTTAATTATTCTTGAGCNTTTTTTTTTTTTTTAAAGGCGGTTGTTTAGGATATATCTCCGAACAGGAGAGCTTCATTTTGCCCTTATAGCCACTGTGTCTTTGGCAAACGTGTGTCGCGACACCAAATTGCACTCCTTTTTGCAAATTATTTTTCCGTTTGTTGAAATGGTAGTCTACATTTATTCGTTTTTTTCAAATGGTACTTAAAAGTATTAAAGACAGGGAAAACAAATAAGAGAATCAGGATATTTAACGCAAGAGTTAAGCTTAAATATTTACTTTCCAAGTTGTTTCGTCGAGTATACTCTTTTTTTTTTTCAATTTCTTGTTGCTTGCCTCACCCTCTACGTTCTGTTCACGAAGATCCTTGTTTTATTTCAACATCTGGGGTGTTCGTCTCGGAATCTTAGTTTGATGTAAAGTCAGTAGTCACAGTTTTTTATTCAGTGTTTAATGTTTTTGTTTTTATGGCTCATTTTTTTATCTCGTGAGAACTGGTATGAACTTTGCTAATTTGCTAGCTTGCCATTTTTTTAGTATGGGCCTACGACGAATTGCGAATGCGTTTATTGGAGAGATGAGCTTATAAGGCGTCATTTGTTCCAAAACTTTCTTCACAAAACACAGCATTCTGTAAATTATGTTTTCACGAGAAGCAGGCACACGATTAACAAGCTATATCACCGAGTTGCCAAGGAACCAGCGTGCACTTTGCCCCAGTCTTCGCTCTATTTGATCTGCTAAAAACAGGAGATGTTGTAATATTTTATTTTGGCCACGTAATTGGCAATGATGGAGGTGAAGAAGAAACAATTGTTACGTTTGGCTCTTTTAACTGCTGGAATATTGCTAATCCTCGCAAAATATGAGCTGTATGAAAAGCAACAGAAGGCGAAACTCGACATAGGTAAGGGTTGTATTGTAATCATGCACTTCAGCAAACCATGTTGGCAATGTCCTAATTAGAACAAATAATTACGCCGCTTACAAGGTCACACCACTTGGGAGAAAAAAAATATATATATAGATAGATATATTTAGACAAATGTATGGACAAATTAAGAACGCGAGTGGACGCTTTCCAGCACAGTCAAATCCCTCAAATGCAATCCTTTTTCTAGCATCTTAATTAATAAACTTTGTTAGGCATAAATTGTTCAGTACTAATTCAACTTTTATTTGTCATCGGTTTTCCACACAAACACTTTTTTGTTATGCGTGTTGCCTACCCGTCAATATGACAAAACTGTGACAATGTCTATGAAATATACATCAATGTTTGTAATGGACCACTCCGACGATGTCACGCAACATCAACAATGTTTAATTTCATATTTTTCATATAAACAAAAAAAGAGCACCCCTTTAGATCAATTTATCATGCCGAATTTGGTAAATATGCCATGTTTATTAAGAATCCGCTGCAAAAGCTTGGATATATTGAATATACTTAGCGCCTGACTTCTAGCATACATTTCTTTGCAAAACGTGGCAAGATGGGATCCCATATTTTCATGAGTTTGCAACGGAATCTTATGAAACTTCGCATATTTACTAAATAAGGCATGATGCGTCGAGCGGTGAGGCTAATTTTGTTTTGGAATGGAAAAAAGTCGGAAAAGCGGGACATCGTGGAAGCGGTCCTGATTAAAATAATGATTGGAAAAAATGATGAATGATAGTCTGTTGCCTTGGTTGTTTTGTGATCAGTGAAAACATTTCGTGAATACATATCGAGCGCGAATTTAACAAATACAGAGTGATCGTATGTATAAACCTTCCTTCTTTTGAGGAAAGGGCCTTTACACGGGTGGTAAAGATCTCCCGAAATAGGTGGGTGTCTAGTTGTAAAGTTTTACTCGTCGTCATAGTGTGTGTTTAACTCTTTTTAAAAAAACTATTAATTAACGCTACAGCTACTTACAATACAATATATGGTCTCTTCTTACAAGCTACAGCTTCTTATAACACAATATCAACACTACTGACTTACAATACTACGGCTACTAACAAATACAGCACTGTGATAAAAGCAATGAAAACGAATATCGTGGTAATCACGATATATCGGCGATATTTGAACGAATTTTGCTTGAAACGATATATAAGGATCCCCAATAGGTTTGGCGGGATACGGGATTTGGCTTTTTTTCGCCGTGATGTTTGGGATTTGAGCTAAAACAGGGGCGTGAAGCGGGAATTACAATTATGAGTGGGAGCGGGATTTCGTGTTTTTATAGGGTTGGGATGCGGAATTCGCAAGGGGAACAGAGCGGGATATGGGATTTCAATTCTTACGTGACCTCATAAATTGTTATTGAGCAGCGCAAAAACCACAAGCTGGCAGGAACGAACCTTTTTTTGAGCGTATAGCTGTGCCAGGTTTCAAGTAATGAATAGCAACGACTCTGTAACCTGTCAGGTTCTGTTAAACGTATCCATCAGCGCTTTACTACGCTAGTATCATGAGACTCTGAGACTGTACGAGATCTTTGAGTCCTATTGCGATCATTTGTGTAGCCTGCGTAGCTTGGCGGTTTTTAAGCAGTTTAAGCCCGCTAAGAAGGCGGCAGAGCCGCGATAACGACCGCCAAAGCCGCGTTGAAAAATTGCTTAAATCGCCAAGTTACGCAGGCTATCACTTGTGTTGGCCTCTGACAGCAATGATATCTGTGCGTTTCCAACATTTTCGACGCTTGCGTCTGTAATCTTGCCCTCCGCCCCCCCCCCCCC